TAAAAAAATTATTTAAACATAAATATTACGAAAAATAGCACATCTTTCGGATTAGAGGTAAAATAATTTGTATGTGGCTAGTAAAATCCTCGTTAACAAATGTTTTGAGCTAAAACAGTCACTTCACGACAAATTGTGACTTGGATCCTTTTTACACCAAGGGCTTCAATTGTTAAAGAAATGTGTCACGCTCGTGGATGCAAATCAAGTGGTACCCCGTATCTCTGGCAAGTGTTACTCTTCGCGCAAAGGGTTTATACCTAGATAAACGAATGCTTCGACTGAGGTCTGGGAACTCTATGGTATTTTGGAATTATAAAGAATTTGTGCTTTTATTTTAACAATATTGGTTATATTTAGATGTATTCTTATTAATTGAAATACAGATTTGTAGAAGTAATACTTTAACAGTTTTTATTAATATAATATATTCAATTTTTATCTGACCATAGCGAAGTAGGGAATTTTGAAACTTTATAGTAATGTGAAATTTGAATTACAATATTACACGATATTACATAATTAGTACTTATTTTAGGTAGGTACTAAATTTGTACTTGGAGAAAGTAATATCGATTTTTACAAGAAAACTTGAAAAGTAAATTAATTTAGTTCTTATTTCTGATGTAAAACTTAAACCAAGAAAACAAATAAATTGTAGTTTGTTCAACAAGGGTGGATATGATAGCCATATCACACAAAGACGAAGTTTGAGCACGACGTCGTAGGCGGAGTACTCAATCGTCTGATTGTGATATGAACAATCCACTCGATATGGTCAGTATATTTTTTCTACGACCCACTAACGAAAATCTACAAATTTAAAAAATTATTTTAGGTTATTTAGACAAAATAACTAATTTTAAAATAATTTACGAAGTTGACTAATTTATAAAATAAAATAAACATGAAAAATTAATTAGTCCTCGGCCTAGATTCGATCCCGGGCTTTTCGCATGGAAGGCAGATGTTCTGTCCTCATCTTCACCGAAACTTTCAGGACTTTAGTTTTAATACTCGTAATTAAATTAGTATCATGTAGTTTGATTAAAATTTATTTTTTTTTAAATGTGCACATAATAAAAACAAAAATGCTATTATTTATCGAGTCTACACAAAAATTTTAATGTATATTTAATATCAATAACTAATATATATATTGACAATTAGTTTAACAGAATTATCACTTATTTAAAAATTTTTAAATAATAGGAGTTGGGTGACCAAAATATGAACTGTGATTTGTAGATTTAATTTTGTTAAAGTGTTCTCACTACCTAAAATGGATATGAAATATATTCGTAGTTGAACGCAATAACATAATTTTTCGTTTTGTAGTATGTGCGTAGATTGGCTAATATCCATGCACAGATTACAAAACGAAAAAGTATGCTATTGCCTTCAATTGAACGAATATATTTCATATCCATTCTAGGTAGTGAGAACACTGCAAAAAAAAAATAAATTCGCCAATCACCGTTCATATTTTGATCAACCGAATGCTATTATTTTTAAAATTTTAAATAAATGACAATTCTGTCAAACTAATTGTCAGTATATTTTTTAGTTATTGAGATTAAACATACAATAAAATAAGTTATTCTTTTGGAAAACGTTAGCATGGATGACTAAAGGGTATTGGGTTAATTAATTCTAAAAGTGTGGTACAAATGTTATTTTTTGTAGCCAATTCTTCAAAATTATTTTAAAATATCTTTTCAATATTGAATATTAGTTCTACAAATTCATCATTTGACAGTTGCAGATTTCCAAATGTATCTGAATTGGCGTTATCATATGCCTTTTAAAAGCAATAAAAAGAAAAATCGTCTAATTCAACGTGATCTTTGTTATATTTAAGACAGGTATCGCAGGAGTGGATCCGCAAGGCTTTTATTAAAAGGTAACCACACACATACCTGATAAAAATTTTCTGTAGCAATTCGTCTTTACAATAATTTAGGGTGTTAATAATTTCATCATAAAATAAAATACAAGGTGTTCCATTTAAAAAGCATACATTTTAATTTTCCAGGCAAAAACGTGACACCCTGTATATCCAAAGATATTTTTAAAATATGTAGGTATTTTTCAAATCCATATAACTTTTATTTAAAACTTTCTTGCGTGTCTACAACAAAATAATGAACAATAACGCACTAATGAGACACCCTGTATAAATTATATTTTTAACAATGAAAATTTCTTATAATGTAGTACTTATCGGTTTGGGTCCTTGGGAAAACTAAAGAATGTTTTCTTGCAGGTATAACCCTTATTAAAACAGCTTTTGACTGCACAAACTCATTCTACTCACAGCTAAAGAGTCACCAAAATAATAACAGTACCTTTAACTCAAACAAAATCAACGAAATTATAGGCTCCACGAAATTATACAATCAACGAAATGATACGCACGACTCAACACCTTGCCTAAGTACGCTTCTGAACGCCAAAACCGTCTTTTCCCTTCGAAGGCGGAGCTTAAGCGATGCGCGACGAAATCGACGCAAACCGTTGCCGCCAAGAGAGTGTTTTAGCTGTATTGTATAAGCTGTGCTTATACTGTTAGGATTTTCTACCACCATTGACTTATACTCTAAATCTCGTTTGATTTTCATAATCTATCTACTTATTAACTACATTTTTTTATATACAGGTTTGAATTATTTTTTATTAAAAATATGAACAAAAATTATAGGAGATAGCTACTTTAAGCTGAAATTCGAAAACAAAATTTTATTCTAGCTTTTCATCTTCTTCTTCCACTAGGTCGGGCTATGTGCTTTTTGTATTGTTAGTAGTTTTCAGATTTTTATAAAAATCGTGAAAATCTGGACTTAGTAAATCCAGAAGAGCCAAGATATGTTTCTTGTTTTCATTATTACTAATAAAGATGTATAACAAGGTAGCGGATTTAAAGGTGTATCTTGTGATATCCTTCCTTCTAAATTCATACATCGAAATTCTTCCCTTTCGTCTAGTGAAGACTTGAAAAAAATAGTTTTTCTTGACGGTACCTTAGCCACCGCAGCTCTGTCCACTTGAAGGAGTTACCATTGCTATCTTTTTGTTTTAGTTTAAAATGGCTTTTATATAAGTCCGAATAGTTTACGAAATCTTCCACCACTTGAAACTTTTTCTTTTTTCCAGTAGCTCCTACTAACTGGTATCAATCGTGGGGAACTCAAATTTGCATCTGTAGATGTTTTTTTTGTTTCTCTATCATCCCATGATCAACATCACATTCAAGGTGGCTATGACCACTAACCATAAACTTGTAATCTATTTGCTCCAGCTGAGGACATTGCTGCAAAAGCGTTAAAAACATTGCTGAGACATGTGAATTTTTGTTTTGGCCCCCACATGAATCTGAATATAAAATGACTTTTTTGATTTGTTGTGGCAAACTTGACAGTTGTTTAAAAATACATGTGGCGATTTCGTTGGCTCCTCTTCCACCTTAGGCCTCATGCCACATGAAGCAAGTTACATTCCCTATTGTCGTTTCATGAAAAGTTAGGTTGAACGTCCATAGTTAGCGTTTATAGAACGTACTGGCTAGCCGATTCTTCTTTTTTTGGAAAATTTTCTGTCAGTAGGTACAGCTTGGATTACATTTTGTTCTAAATGTGGTTCCTTCGATCTATTTCGTATTTTAGAGCTAGAACTCCGTGTTTGATGGAAAACTTCTTCATCAGAGGAAATACTCTCCTGTTCAGGGTTATAATCTGAAAAAAATAGACAGTTAGGATACTTGTTACATTTTCTGAGCCTCAATTATCGAGATGGTCCAGAGATAGAGCATTTGTGTACAAAACAAAAATGTCTGGGTTCGAATTCTGAAACCTACAGGCTTTTTTTCAAATCTCTTTTTTTACGTGGAGTTCAGAGGTGGTCTTAATAATTCGTAGGGAGTTCTTGAGATTTGTTTTCGAATTTTTAAATTATTCCAAATACAAAATAGCTTGTATTTTTCAAAGACGCTTTTGCAGCGTCATTAACGACTAAATTTAAACTAGGGTTTAAATCGAAAACTTTTTTATGAACTATTATTGCGACCACTCATTTTCGCAACATTATTATCTTTTCCCCTTAAATTCCTCAGACAAATGTGAGTTTCCAAAAAATATAATAAAAAATTAGTTAAACCTTGTTCTGTCTAATTTGATATTGAAATAAATCCCAATAATTTCTATTTGCTTTGATTTGTTATTTGATAGAACAAATCTTACTACAACTGTAAGTTGGTCTTGGTGAAATCTAAAATAATAGAATAATATTTACCAACTTTTAAAAGCGATATTATTCCATGCCTTATTTTTGCTCTAAAAAAGAAATACTATCTATCTTTTTCCATATTTATTAATTAATTTATTAATTAAAAGAATCAGTAGTTGTTTTAGAACTTGAATGTGCGCAATCTGTGGAATGTGTGTGACTACAGAATCGAAGATCACTATACTTGGGAGCATATTAGACAGAAGAGGTCGATCTGGTCAGCTCCGAGTTACCCCAAATCCTGATATTCCTTGTAAAAAATATTTCCTTGCCGGTTTTGCATTTTCATTTTACCACCTTAAAAAAGTTAAGCAGAGGAATACAATAAATCCAAGGGATAAACTACTAAGGTCAAAACATTTCGAAAATTACCAAAAATTCATATTTTCGACCTAATTTCCTATGAATTTTCTATAAACTTTCTTCTTGACGATTCAAATTACTTTTTTTTTTGGCTATTCATTTTTTTTTTTGATACCACTACCTGCTACTTTTATATTTCAAAACAAATGTATTTCGGCCATGATTTTCGGTGATTATTTCGGGTATTTCGAGAGAATTTGTAGCGATTTCGAATAAGAAAACGACCAATACAGGGAGAGGTTCACCTCTCAGTAAAATCAATTTGATTTAAACAAACTTACAGTAAAATATAACAGTAATCTTTTCTTTGATGCACAAAAAATCTTTGTGATAAACGAAAATTCTACTTTATATTACTTGGTTATTTAAGTCCGTCTCTGATATGAAGGATGTAAGTTGCGAGGTACGATTGAACCGTGACAATGGGCACAAGCGATGGTGCAAAGAAGGATAGTGATATAGAAGTGGGAAGTATACGAATGGAAGTGGGCGAATGTTACAGCTTCACTCTTTCACTGGCAGATGAATTCTTAAAACATTACGTTACTGTTTAGTTTAAAGTGTATAGAGAGGATAAGAACCTCAACTAGCTGGGTAAGTTCATGACCGTTTGTCATTCGATTGGGTTTTATGTTTTAAATGCATACAATTGTGCCCGTATTTATTTCTTTATCATTTTGATTCCTATAAGATCACAAAAGCAAAAAGAATATTAATAAATTATAAAGTATACAAAATATGTACAACTGATCACATTAAATGCATAAAATATTTTTGAAACTAATTTAGATGCTGCTATTTAATGCAGCCGACTAACTTTCATCATAAATATTCACTATTTTTTGCTAAAATATCGAAATAATTATAAAATATCCCTTGTATTAATTTTTATTAGAAAGTTTTTTATTGAAAAAAACTACAAAGGAAAAGGTTTTCTCTGTTATTAACATATATTTTATGAAAGTTAATAAATACGAGTAGGTAGTACGAAAAAGTTGAATTTAGACTCTGAGATGATCTAAAAAATGTTTTTTCAAACGACTGTCATATAAAAATGACATTTTAAGGATTTATTAACATCCCTAAAGTGCTATTTTATTGGCCGCATTTACTTTACGGCCGCTTTTTATAAACACAGGTTTTTCATACTTATCGTTAGTAATTCTGTACAAATGTTATTAGTTAACGATGAATTTTTATTCAATCAATAAACATTTTAAACAATTGTTGCATTTGGATCTACAAAAAAATGTATGCACCTTGGCTTTATAATCTTTTTTGTCCTAACCAGAAATTGCTTGGCCTCAGCCGCTCCTCGGCCGCAAATTTCTGATTCGGTCCAAAAAGATCAACTTTACGGCCTTGGTACACAAAGAACTATAGCGCTTGTTATGCTATACAAATCACATTTTTAATCTCAAACATTTAATCAAACGTGAATTAAAAAGAGTCTGTTCGCTATACTTACGCGGGATTCGGATTAAAAATTTTATGAGTATTTCCAGGTAAGTACCCGAAAGTTTGACCTGTTCTTTGGGGAAATATCAACTGGTTACATGAAATGAAAAATAATGTACAACTCTTTAATTAAATATAATGGGGAATCTTTTGTATAATTAACAGTAGAATTAAACTTCTTCATTAATGGAGTCTAATGTGGCTATTATAAACCTAATAATAATTTTATATTACACTTCACACAGAAAATATGGTCTATGTATAATAAGAGGGTTATTTAGCTTAAATAAAATATTTTCTAACATAAAAATTTGTTCCATGTAGAGAATTTCAAATGAAAAATAAAAAAATTGAACTTGCCAACAAAAATGAAAATCAGTCATTATCATCCAAAATATCATCATCATCACTGTCATCACCATTAATTGTTATTATGATTGGACTTATTTCGTTTATTTTATTTTCACGAGTCCATCAATCTTCTATTAGTTTCTCGCACTTGGATATACAGTTCCTCCACACTTCTGGAGTTGCAATTGAAAGTGATTTTCGCCAAGTTTCCCAAACTGCGTCGTCACTATAACCATTGGGTCCAATATGGTTGTCATAATATTGTTTTGCTATTCCCCATATATATTCGATGGGATTAAACTGGCAATGATACGGTGGCAGACGTAAAACTTGGTGACCGTAACTTTCAAAAATCTGATCCACAACAAAGGTTTTTGGTTTTGCGTGTATATTTGCCAAGCGTAATAATTCTGATTTTAATATATATTGAGGAAATTGTATGTTCCTTTGTCAATCATTCTTTAATTTTGTCAACAGTCCAATAATTCGTTGGACTTTTGTTTAATACTTCAGAATGGTAAGGTGCATTGTCTAAAATAATTACGCTGGGCTCACTTAAACCTGGGAGAAGTTTTTCATGCAACCATTTTACAAAAATTTCTGTGTTCATATTATCGTGATAGTCTCTGGATTTTGATTTAGATGAGAATATTTAATCAGCACCTTCTATAAAACCCGATTTCCCTTCTGCATGCATGTGTCGCTTCCCTTCTCCATCGGTATGTTTGATGGACTTTACGTTATCATCTTGCCATATTCTCTTGGTTGCACCTCTAGAAAATATCCATGTTTCGTCTAAATATATAAAATTCGCCCTTTCTTCTTTAAATTTAGAATATTTACTTAGAAAGTTAATTCTCTTGTGCACTACAGAACTTCTTTCACAAAGGGCCTTTCTGGTCACATGTTCCTTGTTGGCCCTCATTCGATAAATGGTATCACGAATTTCAAATTTCTTTCCATCTGGAATATCTTTCGTTTTCAATAATGGGCGAGTCAAAATAGAAAATGTAACGTTACTCATCTTAAAGTTTCAAGGCTTTTCCAGGGGCTGGTAACTGATCTTGAAGTTCTGGCCGTCGACCAAACTTCTTTCGGAACACAAATGACAGACCTCGAACGTTGTTGATGCTGGCTGGACCAAAGAGTAGTCTTTAATAACTGTGAGCAGGTCTTTTTATTGCTCTAGCACCTTTATGTATACACCCCTAAATTCTTCAAAGACAAGGTGTTACTTGGAGCTGATTTACTTCTTCTTCCTCGTCATAGTCACCCTCAAATAGCTCCAGCCGGTTTTGGTGCACTACTGAAGTCCAACGACTTTAAACAAGTATCACCAAATTCAACCATGACTGGCATTAAAATATTGATTAAATGATCAATCTTGATGTAAATAGGATAATTCCTAAAGGGTATCAATGGAAAGGACCATTAGTGTCTAAAATTGATCATTGACTTGTTTACTATATACTTTTTAATTAATACGAAACCGACATTATGTTTAAACGGTGATAAAAAGGTATTTATTTGCCAAATCGACATATTCTCAAGTTTCTCAATTATTATTGAAGTCATTTGGTGTATTTTCTATTTGTGCCAAAAATACGAATGTATGTATTGATTTTCCGGAAGCATTGTTAGGCGTATAAATAGTTTTATGACCTTGTGAAATCATGCATTCTCAATGTTTTATTACAGTTAATCATATTTTTGCTAATAATAATAATAATAATAATGAGTTATGGTTATCATAGTTAGTAGTTTATAGTATATTTTCTATTTTTTGCTATTACCAAATGATTATGGAGGAAGATATAACTTGAACGACTGCTGGCCTAACCACTCTTCGAGCACAATCCAAAAAGTTTTATGCACATGAGAAAAAGTTTTGTTTTTAAAAAGTTCTGTATTATTTCGTAATTGCTATTTAAATCAGAATTTAATTTCTAAGATTAAACAAAAAATTGTTATTTTAAATGACAAATACAGATAAGATATGACCTTTTGGTCAATGTTATAACTTTGTTTAAGTTTATTTTTTGTTTATTTGACTTACTTATTAGTATCTGAAGTTTATTTAATTTAAAACTTATCTTTGCACATCCTGCTTGAATATTTATCAGTTATTCGCTTTATGTCAATTGGAGGATGGCATGTGTCGCAGAGATAAACTCTTCCTCAATAACAGAGAACATATTATTTTAGCATATATACTTCCGTACTTAAACTATATACGAGGCACAGTCACGAGCATGAAAAACTATTAAATTTTCTTTTTTTTTCTTTATCTTTATTTATTACCTACCTATTTATATATTTTTGTTACAGAGTAAAATCTAGCAGACAAAATGAAGCTCTTACATATATCTCTTATTCTTTTAGTTGTATTTCTAGTTACTGAAAGTAACGCTGACAACAAAGTGGTAAGTAATGATATATCTTCAATGATCTGATTTACCTAATCAGAATTAGTTATAATAAAATTAATTTCTAAACACATTTACAGACCTAAATATTTATTAGTGTAGGCTAGTCAATGAAGACACCCCATTTTGAAAATTTCACGTTATATACAAAATTATTTTACTTTCTTACAGACCTGATGATGGTCACTGACCGAAACTAGTCGCTTTCCCTGTTTTCAAAAACAATAAATAATTTTTGTGGTCAAGACTTTTCTTTTGAAAGTTTATATTTTAATAGTACAAATTATGTTGTTTTTTAAGCAAAAATAACAATAGACTCTGTTTGGGCAAAAGTCACTTTTTTCTTAACAGATTTGGATTTTATTAAAAGTTGCTTCAGGCAGTTTGATTAAATAAATTAGGTTTTTCGTCAAACGAAAATTAAATTATTGCTGGCTGTATTACTAACGCTTATGTAAATATAATAATAACTATCTAAAAATGTCTTTCCTTTAAATTAAATAATTACAGAGAAAACACAAAAAATATAGAAGAAGGCCAGTCGCTATATCGACTGAAGAAGTATCTGCTGACGCTAATAGTCAGACTCCAACTTCCGAGGATGAAGATTTATTAGTTCCACCAGCTGATGACGAACCAATTGACAATAGAGTTACACTAATGGGTATGTTATCGATTATCTAAGCTTTAAATTAATATAAAATTTATAGAAATTCACCAAAACTATAGTCTATTTTTATGTATGAGAGAGTATTAAAATAATAAACCGTTCATAATCCATAGGCGTACTACTTCTTTTAGTAAACAGTTAAAATATTTTTAGTTATTCCTCGAGTATACACTTATATTTTCACCTAATTAACCTGCTTATAACTTAACTTCTAAACAGCTGAAGGTAAAAAAGTGCAATTTTTACTAAAATGTTTTATTTTTCCACAAGGTATGTTAAGAACATTGTGTCAAACGGGTTATGTAGGTATAAGGGTTTAAACTTTGACTTTTAAACAACGTTACGTTCATAAATAATAATTTTAATATAAAAACTACTTCTTACCTACAAATCCAAATCAGAATCTAAATCAGAAGATGAACTGTCGCAACCAATATTTACAATGAGTGGCTCGATCATTTCATCAGTAATATTGTCCAACTTCCACATTTTCTCTTCTTCTTTAATCGTATGATCTACTGCCTTTTCCCAGTTTTCAGGCTTCACATTATTTACAGCCTCCAAAAACAACTGTTTAACATTACTCATTTTAAAAGAATTATTTTTTCTTGAAACTTCTCTCTTTATCTGTGCCCATATCAGTTCAATCGGGTTTACTTCGCAATGATATGGTGGTGATCTAACCACCGTCATCCCACGATTTTTTGCAATTTCATCAATTTCATATTTTTTGAATTTCTCTTTATGAAGGGAACACAAATGATACAGTTCTTTTCTCACAGAACCGGGATGGAACTTAATATTCTTTGAATTTAGCCAATTCTGTAAATCTTTTTTTAACCACTTGGTTGTGGGCATTTTTTTTATAAGTCTCGAGTGATAACTTGCATTATCCATTACTATTATACAGTTCTGAGGAAGAAGATCTATAATTTGTTCGAACCACTCTTTAAAGACATCAGCATTCATGCCCTCATGGTAGTCACCGGTACGAGTAGATTCAAAAGTCAATAAACCACCTTTAACAAAACCGTTTGAACTACCGATGTGTACTATTATTAGTCTGCGCCCCTTTCCTGATGGTGGATTTAAACCAGTAGATTAATTATTTAAAAAAGCCTGTCTTCGACTTGTAACAGTTTCATCTTGCCAAAATTTATTTGGTTTATGTCCCTCGTTGATCCATGTTTCATCTAAATAAATAGTCCTTAGGTAATTTCTTCTCCATACTACAATATCGCTTCTTTCTATTAAAACAGACTTCCTGGAATGCTTTTTCCATAGAAAACCTATTTCTTTTCAAAGGTTCCATAGTGTGCTTTGACTCATTTCAGGGTAATCCTTATCATCTCGAACCGTGGCAAGAACTTTGTCTACTGTCGGAAATTCTTTTCTAAAGAAGAACGCATGCATTTTCCTTCGAAGTCTTTCTTTCAAAAGATTTTCTAATTGAAATGTTGGTTTTCCTGGAGCTTTACGTGCTGTTTGAAACTCGCCACATTTCTCTTCTTTAACAACTCTGTAAATCGTAGATTTCCCAACACCAAGCGTACTACTAACTAATTCCACTGTGTCATCAACACTTTTATATAAATGTTTGTATGTAAATGATTTAAAACAATTAAATATTAATGTTTTTTCATTAACTGTTAAAGGACCGATTTTTTGTCGTTTACGCGGCCCTTCCAAATTTTCCACGATCACATTAGAATTCACACTGCACCTTGCAAGTTGCAACTAAACGACATTTAGTAAATTGTCAAGAATACACAACTTGGACCTCCTTACTAAATGGAAAACCTATAATCGCATTTTCGGTGAAATTTGTTGGGAAGGTATTTATCTACTTATAATTCGATTACTGTAAGAAATTCTTGGAATTAAAATAAAACAAAATTGGCAAATAGGTACTTATTGAAAATAATCTTAAGATACGGCTATGTAATCTTTAATACACAGGGCTTTTGGCCTGTCCAAACCTTTTTCTATTGTTCTGTACAGCTTATGTTTATAAAGGACCAATAAAAGACCCAAAACTTGTAATAGATCAGGTACATTTATTACAAGTTTAGGAAATATTTAGATTATTCTGTAAAAATATTTAAAATTACCATACTAAGTTTTGCATTAGAAATGCTGTTTTATTACTCTCTCATACATAAAAATAGACTATAGACAGTTCCAAATATCTAGATATTTTTTTGTATTTAAATGTTATTATATTTATGATTTATTGCAGATCCATGTATGCAAGTACGCTGTGGAGCAGGTAGAGTTTGCCAAGTGGATGACGATGGAGAGCCACAGTGTATTTGTATTCCTAAATGTCCTGTAGAAACCGAATCACGTCGTAAAGTATGTTCCAATTATAATGAAACATGGTCATCCGATTGTGCTATTTATCAACAAAGATGTTTATGTGATAAAGGAGATGCCGATTGCAAAGGACCTCAGTACAAACATGTTCATATTGAATATTACGGAGAGTGCAGGGAGATGCCTGTAAGTATTACACACGTCAAATACCAATTGATATACCTTTAATGTTTCTTATTTCGTTTTTGTAAAGGAATGCAATAAAGAAGAGATGTCAGATTTTCCGCGCCGAATGCGAGACTGGCTCTTTAACATTATGAGAGATCTTGCTGATCGCCAGGAACTGACTCCTCACTATTTAAATATGGAACGCGAAGCCGAATCTAACATGACTCGTCGTTGGACCAACGCAGCAATTTGGAAATTCTGTGAATTAGACGGACACCCACCAGATAGGTAAAATAATTTTAATATTTATTTGTCTTTGTTTCTCAATAGGTACTGCTGTAAAGCGAGTGTCAAAAATGAAATACCAGGTATTAGTATGTATGTGTGCTTAATTGAAGTGTCTAAGAAGGCTTTAAATGAATGTAAAACGAAGTACCTGTAAAAGGTATGAGTGTAAAATACGTATGAGGTGTATAAGTATGTACCTATTAAAGGTGTGAGTATGTACTTATGAGGGGTATAAATATGTACCTTTGAAAGGTGTGAGACACTTGTGAGTATAAGTATGTACTTATGAGGGTTATTAGTATGTATCTATTAAAGGTGTGAGTATGTACCTATTAAAGGTGTGAATATGTACTTATGAGGGGTATATGTACCTATAAGAGGTATAAGTATGTAGTTTTTTCGAAGTAATGCCATTAGAACTTTTCTTTATGAAGTTTTGTCATTCAAATTTTTCAATTCGAACTATTCTTTTCAAAATTTTGTTAACGGAGTCTTCCAATTCGAACTTATTTCACCAACCACCCATTCCCTCCCCTATTGTATAAATTTGATTTGTTATCGAAAAATAGTATTATTTTTTATATTATCTTATATTTTAGATCTGTATCTCGACATGAGCTGTTCCCCATTCGTGCTCCTTTGATGGCTTTAGAACATTGCATTGCTCCCTTCTTAAATAAATGTGACACGGATGATAATCACAGAATTAATTTAGCAGAATGGGCCAAATGTTTGGAATTACCAGAGGTAAGTGTTTACCTTAAGACTAGGGGTGGGCAAAATAATTGATTAATCTTTTTATTTTGATGATTGCCCAATGCTACTCATGATCATTGTGGAATTATTACTTTATTCTTAATTTTGTATTTATTTAAGTAACGATAAAATTATTTTTTTCAGGAAGAAATTGAGCATCAGTGTGAAGAAATTACTGATGCAGAATAAGAATAATATATTTATATTTTAACTGCAAAGGTGCTACACTTAGAACTTAAATAACAGAATGTGCCATAATAAATTTTTGAGATTATTTTTTTAGAATTTTTTATGTTTATTTAACATTTAATAAAAATTTTAAAGTTAATGAGAATTTCTCATGTATTTTTTTATCGGACAGGATATTTATGAGGTTGTGGGAATTGTTTTACTTAAGTTTATTAGTCTGAGACCCTGACGTAAAAAAATTGAAGGGGACATAATTAAAGGCTAAATTAATGAAAAATATATTAGTTATTAATTGTTACTTTTCCTAAAATAATGTGAACAAAGTATTTTTCTCTTGAAACCTATTTATTTTAAATGTGATTTATTACAAAATACAAAATTTACAAAGAATTGTAATTGGCGCAGTCGTTAGGATACGAATCTACTTTTTCAATGGAAATCTGATTTCCATTTAGCTTAGTTGTAATTCTTTGACCTTCAAACTTCTTTCTAAAGTAGTTTTAATTACTTTAAATTCCAATCAACAAGATTCCAGGTTAGCGCCCCCACAAGATGAAATACTTTAAAAGCAGCTTTTTTTAGTTTAAATTAATGAATAATAACCATATATGTTTTTTTTATTTTATTAAAAAAAAAAACACCTTATAAGGGTAAAAAATAATCAATGAGTAATTTTGTTTTAACCTAATCTAATTGAGGTTGGAATCTTAAAAACAAAGCTTCTACTCATTGGTATACCAGATAAAACTAAAACGCACAATACTTTGCTTTGCTCGAGTATTATTGGTTGATGTTGTCAAGAAGTTTGATTGCCTTAACCTTTAGATGATGGTAGAGCTGTTGTTCATGATCCCTAGCGAAACTGGTGATCTATCTGAATTAGAGTCTCTACCCCATCAGATTAATATTTAATTTCTCACATATATAACCTTTATTCCATTCTTTTAAACAAGAATAATATTAACATTTTAAATTTTCTTTTTATTTTCTTTTTTTCTCTCACTCCAATCTGAGGCTTGATGACACTGTAGCTTTCAAGGCCTATTAGTCCACTATGTGAAGCTGCTACTGGCTCAGATGATATATAGTCCTCTGAATGAGAATATTTTTCAAAAGATATATCAATGTTTCACTCATGGCATTGTTGGACAAGTTTATTTTATCTAATTACCTACATATACCTCTATTTATGATGCTTAATTGTGATAACTAATTATGGTATCTAATTTAATACCTAATTATGATACCTAATTAAGCTTTTTTGGACATTGTAATTTTTATTCTTTCTGGATTTTACTCTTTTCATGTAAATTGTAATATTTTGGATGAATAAAATTATTATTATTAATTAAGATACCTAATTAATGTACCTTATTATTATAAATAATTATGGTACCAAATTATGATACCTACTTATAATACCTAATTAAGATATATAATTATTAAGCCTAATTATAATACATAATTATGTAACCTAATTATTATAACCAATTATGGCACCTAATTCTGATACCCAATTATGATACCAAATTTATTAGTCTAAAAGGAACGATAAATTAAAAAGTCATTGAGTTAATTTATTTATTAAAAAAACAATACAACTTTTTATTACTCAAATAAAATTAAAAATTATATAACTACAACTATATGAATTAAAATTATTTATAACAAAAAGATCCGATACGACTAGACATGTCTATAACAACATATGTATTGAGATATAAAAAATAAAGATGCCTTTTGAGCCTTAGTTTACTATAAGGATAAATTAGTTTATATATCAAAAATTGTACCTACTTTGAAAATTGAATAAAGCATGGCAATATAAATACATTATTAAATTTTTTTGTTAAGTACATCAAAAAACGGTTTTAGGTAAAAAAAGGTATAATATTGACATAAAATATTTATGAAAATCGCAGAAGTATGTTTACTCTTTTGTACATTTCTTTACTCACTTTAGTTAGTGCATAAATTATACTTTTTATTGTTTTAGGGTTAGAATTAGAATTCTGTGTGATGTATAAAATGCATTCTATTTTATATTTATAGTTTGAGCATTTTTTTAAAAATTGATATTTCCTGAGTATTTAAATTTACCATGTAAATCAGACATAGGTAGGTATAAAAAATGATATAAATTTATTGAAAAAAATTAGGTCATTCCTTTTTTTAGGTTATAAATTAGTGATGCCTTTATTTTAATTATAGTAACTACAGTTTTTTACTCATTTCCATTAAAATGCATTAAATTTATAAAAAAATTGCTGATGCAGGTTTGGAAAATAAAGTTCCATACAACTGCAGATGTGACATATAAAACTTTATAACTTTTATGACGGCAACATCATAGAAACAAAGATAAAAAGTTGGTTAAATTTTTTAGATCATATATAGATATGGCAAGAAATAAAAATGGATATCTAACACAATATATCTCTGGAATAAGCAGCATGGGAATAAATTAATCTAAAATCAAATATACACAGCATGAAGCAAGGAACACTGTGGGCAAGCAACAAATTTGTCTATTCACAGATACAAAAATAAATAATTACATTAAGATAGAGATTAAATGCTACATATTTATAGACAAAAAATATATTAATATATTAATATAGAAAGCTATTACCAAATTTAATTCTTTCAATTGTTAATCCGTTATATGATTTCTCTGATTTTCTTTTTTTTTTTAATGTAAAATGAAAGAATAATTATTAAGAATATTATGTACAATTTTATTCTATTCAAAAAATACACTCAATATGTAAATGAATATTCTTTTCAATAAATAAAACATTTTTTAAAAATTATCGTTCGAAATATTCAGCGGGGCGTTGTGGAGTCATAAGTTTCATTTTATAGACCTTGTTTTATTTAAATAAATACCAAACTTTCATCAATAATTCAACAGTGTTAGAAAGTGAGCGAAGTTTTTCACTTCTAATCATTTTAGTCAAAATAGTTTATAAATATACTTTAGCCATTCTATTTGAATTTGAATACAATGATAAGTATATTATTTGAGTTTTGTTTTTTATAGAAACTAAATAAAGAATTTTAATAATAGGATGGGTACTTTTGCAGGGTATCTCCGTTATTTTTAAAGATAGAGATTTGCGGTTTTTGCGACACTTTGCTACAGTCTGTTCGCTATACTTACTCGGGTTTCGGATTAACAAAATTATGCAAATTAGTCATTGACAACCAGTTCCAATAAGCCTCTTCCCAAGAAATTAGAAAAAAATTCCCTAATGGTCAGATTTAAATTAAAATAACATTAGGGTAGGTACTAAATTTGTTACAAATATTGCAATTGAATTGATTCTTTGCAAGTGTTGACATTGTATGTATATTGTAAATTTAATGGACATTTTAAAAATGCCTAGACGTGTGTTGGATGTAGATAGTCTAATTTGTAGTGTACATAAGTATTTTACGGATGAAAAAGAAAATGGCGGTCCTTTAAAATCGGTAATGTCTGTACAACAACGCGTATGCGATGCTCTAGGAATTAGTGAAACCAAATTAAGAGGAGTATTACAAAATCACAATAGTGAACTGCCGAAAGAAGATCACCGCAAAACTCGTCCATCATTGACAACGAAAGATATTCCAGATGGAAAGAAATTTGAAATTCGTGATACCATTTATCGAATGAGGGCCAACAAGAAACATGTGACCTTAAATACAATTCTCTCGGAATTAATAGATTGAAAATTTGACAACACTGGCAGAACAAGTCTATGGCAAATGATACATAACTTGGGTTTCAAATTTCAAAAGGAGGATAACAGAAAGGTCCTTTGTGAAAGAAGTTCTGTCGTGCACAAGAGAATTAACTTTCTAAGAAAATATTCTAAATTTAAAGAAGAAGGGGCGAATTTTATATATTTAGACAAAACATGGATATTTTCTAGGGGTGCAACCAAGAAAATATGACAAGATGATAACGTAAAGTCCATCGAAGATACCGATGGAGAAAGGAAGCGACATATAATTTTATATACAGGAGGGAAATCGGGTTTTATAGAAGGTGCTAATTTAATAATTTCATCTAAATCAAAATCCAGTGACTATCACGATTATATGAACACAGAAATGTTTGTAAAATGGTTGCATGAAAAACTTCTACCAGGTTTAAGTGAGCCCAGCGTAATTATTTTAGACAATGCACCTTACCATTCTGAAGTATTAAACAAAAGTCCAACGAATTCTTGGACTGTTGATAAAATTAAAGAATGGTTGACAAAGGAACATATACCATTTCCTTAATATATATTAAAATCAGAATTATTACGCTTAGCAAATATACATGCAAAACCAAAAACCTTTATTGTAGATCAGATTATTGAAAGTTACGATCATCAAGTTTTACGTCTGCCACCGTATCATTGCCAGTTTAATCCCATCAAATATATATGGGGAAAAGCAAAACAATATTATGACAACAATATTGGACCTAAAGGTTATGCAGTTCGGGAAACTTGGCGAAAAGCACTTTCAATTGCAACTCCAGAAGTGTGGCGGAACTATATATCTAAGTGCGAGAAACTAATAGAAGATTGGTGGACTCGTGAAAATAAAATAAACGAAATAAGTCCAATCATAATAACAATTAATGGTGATGACAGTGATGATGATGATGACGATTATGATATTGTGGATGATAATGACTGATTTTCATTTTTGTTGGCAAGTTCATTTGAAATTCTCTACATGGAACAAATTTTTATGTTAGAAAATATTTTATTTGAGCTAAATAACCCTCTTATTATACATAGACCATATTTTCTGTGTGAAGTGTAATATAAAATTATTATTAGGTTTATAAAAGCCACATTAGACTCCAGTAATGAAGAAGTTTAATTCTGCTCTCAGTTATACAAAAAATTCTCCATTATTATTTAATTAAAAAGTTGTACATTATTTTTCATTTCATTTAACCAGTTGATATTTCCCCAAAGAACAGATCAAACTTTCGGGTACTTACCTGGTAATACTCATAAAATTTTTAATCCGAAACCTGCGTAAAACTAAAGATACCGTTAAGAAAATTTTTCATAGCCCCTTTAGTTTTTAAGATACAGGACATTTTTGAAAATGTTGCGTTTTGGGACACCCCTCGTATCTACGTTATCCTTCAACTTATCGAAAAGATAAAATAGTATTCTTATAGATTTTTTCCATAGAATGCAGCGGTGTAGATAATTTTTCATAAAAATATATAATATACATATTTAGTTTAAAATTATGTTTATATAATATTATAAATAACTTAAAATCTTTATTTCATTACCTATACATATTTTTTCTCCTTAATATTGTCAAAATCATTAAGACATTGATTACATAATCGTGGCCCAATTTTCCTAAAACTGTAATATGCAGGGTTGAAACCAATTGAAGTAGAAAACTATTTTTGACATCATTTTCATTATTTTACATATTTATGAAAAAGCGGTAGGTATAAAACTAAATATAAAATATTTTTCTTTTTCAAATGGAAGAATATTTCTAAGCAGTGGCAGCCAGTGGTAATTTAGCAATCATTTTTAGCAACACAATTATTTAAATAGGAAGAGAAAAGTTGATTGAGAAGCAAATGTTAAAAGAGTTGAGGAAAAAATATGAAGGAACTTCCTGATATTGCTGTAAAAAGAGTTAAATTTTCAATAAATTATAGAAATGCAAAAGAGGCAGCTTTATATCAGTTCAAATTTGATAATAAAGGCATCAGCAATTGTTCTAAAATAAAATAAAAAATTATATCGATTATCACTAATTTTAAAGTTTTCGTATAGTTATTGTGGCACGTTTGAATTTATTATTGTATTTATTATTTTAAGCAGTCTGGTTATTTTTTTCTAGATTTACAGGAGTCAATGTATCGTCAATTTCAACCATTTTTAGCGTCTTAAGTTTATATTTCTGTACATAAGGAACCGAAAATGATAGAGCTGTTGAAATTACGAAGAAACCACTAGCTACTAGAAAACAAATCTTGTACGATCCTGTAGCACTGATTATAATTCCAGCTAAAGGCGGTCCTAAGAGGGCACCAGTACCTCTGAATAGAATCAAATTTCCAAAAGCACTTGTTAGCTTTTCTAACCCTAAAAATTCAACTAATAGTATAGACGTCAGTGATATGAATCCAGCTGAAAAAAAGCATAATTAATAAATCTATAGGAAAAAAAAAGAAATATTTATTGAAACGCAGTAAAATGAAATTGATAATAACATAAACAAAACATAAAAAATTAACTCTGTTGCTAGGTACACGCTAAAATGTACACAAATCAAAAAATTATATACACGCGAAACGTCATATTGATTTGGTGGGGGGTATTTGTATGAATGCGTCTTGTTTGTTTTCATTTACGCTGTGACTAGCAGTAGTATTTTATAAATCTTAGAAGCAAATTTCACATACATGAACAAATAATAATAATAATAATAATGCCGTGACAACAAGAAAACGAAGCAACGACTTCTCGTAGGGTGGCGGCTTCGCCGCCACCAGAAAATTGCAATCCATACCTAGCTACGACGATCGGCATAAACACCAACGGCCTAGACACAGCTCACCTACTCTGTCAAGACGTTTCGCGTGTATATGACTTTTTGAATTGCGTACAAGTTAGCGTGTACCTAGACACTGTGAAAAATTAACCGAAATGGTTCATAATTATCGCTTTCTAAGGAGATGTTCACACATAATAAAACAAACAAACAGTATTTATTTTGGAACAATAATACTGTGTACTCGCTGAATCTGATTGAGCACTGTTTTATTATCATTATTAAGATACTTACCCATTGAAGTTCCATAGACACAAGCCACGATACTATAGGAAATATAGTCATGACAGAAGGCAACAGCACCCACTGTTAAGGCCATAATCAGTAAGCATATATTGTTGACCAGCAACGTATTCACTGATGGAAAATCAGCGATCAATCCGCAAATAATACGACCAACGGTATTTGTTATTCCTATGAACGAAATCAATAGAGAAGATCTTGACGAATGGATTCCCTGAAAAAAAAAAAAGCAGACAAAATTAAAAAAAGATTTTATACAGTATGATCTAAAATAAACAGTACTGAACTTATTTAAGAAATGCGCATCATTTAGACCTCCTCTAATTCATTGATGATTTGTGGTGTATTTTTGAAGAATGCTTCTTTGGTCATATATGTCTGGAAAGGTAAGATCTGGTAGTCGTTGAAAATTATGCGCTACTACGTAATTACTGTTTATTTTGGGCCGTACTGTATTATTCCACTATTTATTACGTTCTATAGAAACTTCAATGCTCTCGGCTCTTCCGAACTGTCATCTATTATCCCACCACCGGCCATAGTAGCTACTGCTACTCACCAGTCCCTTATTATGTCTAACTTCATGTTTCTTGTAGCTATTTGAGAATCAACAAGTTTTTCTTAATCATCCCACCACACATTGTGGGATAGGCTAATTTTGTATCCCAACAAATACTAAAATAATACTAGTGAAATAATAACGTAGGCATGGGCGTCGTTCAAAAAATTTCCAAAGGGGCGCAAGTCTTACAGACAAGGTCAAAACGCCGTAGGCTATAGTCGAAAGCTACGCCGAAAAAATTGTCAAAAAATTTTTCAATTTTCAACAGACAGCTTTTAATATGCGAAAGCTGTTGAAGACATCAAAGTTAAAGAAAACAATATATCAATGACGTCTGTTTTGTCTAGGTTAAATAGACTACTAGGTCTATGACAAAGATTATTAACCTTTATGAATAAAACGTTGTAGATCTGATGACCTTCACGATCGAGATATTTCAGCTATTATATAACACAATAAAACGATCTTAAACGTTAATTTCATTCAAGAGAAAGCACAAGGATTGTGAACTATCAAGAATACTAGTTTTACCATATATGTACATATACACACGGTCAAACAGTCAACTCAATGTAATAACAGGACTACTGACATTTATGAAAAAAGAAATAAAAGGATTTCGCAAACATTTAAAAAAAAATTAACAAATAAGTGAAACTAAATAAATTTCATGCTAAAATAAAAGTGAAGTTTTGACATTAGAGTTCTTGTCCTTATACATGTTTCTAACCTCATTGTAAAATTTTTTGTTGTCTTATATAGTACAAATTATAGAAGAGCCATTACAAATTACCATCTTAGAAGATTTAGAAGTCAATGATAATAAATATTAAAAAACTTCGAACTGATACGAATGTCGGCGAGCGTATCCGAAAGCTATAAAGTCGCCACTATCACAATTAAGGACAGGCACAATGTTTAATAAAGTCAATTCGAGAATGTAAACGAAATGCGCATGCTCAGATGTCAAAATAGGTGCGGCTTTAAACTTCAGTTAAGAGAATTATTACATTTTATTACATATTTCTGTCAAAAAAAGTATGTAGTAAGTATATTATGTTACTATGAGTATAAGTGGAATTTATTGTCGACCCCAGCAATTTTTCACATTCTTCAAGCATCACAGAGTCTTTAACTGTAAAAACGCCTAGAATTATTTCAATAAACTAAGTATGTATATAAAAAAGATTTAAGTCTTTATTAACATGTTTTTGTTTTGATGACAAAATGCGGGACAAGAACGGTTACAATTAGATAAACTAGCTCCAATTACAGATGACCATAATGTGTTCATCAATAGCAATAAGACGGGATATTGTTTCTTAGAATCCTTAACATCATATTGAAATACTTGGAAGTTTCAAAGGAAATGGCAATTTTAGGTAATAAATATGTCCTTCCCAAACCAATCAGATACACAAAATACAGTGTGACACTTTCACCGTGCCGCCAGTAAACTCACAAGTTGCATGGGAATACAAGTGACTATATTACTTTGAGGGCGTCAGGTATATTTTAAAAATGCCGATGATGAAAATAAAAATTCAATCATATAAATGTGACTTAATACTAATATTTAATGATAACATCGCAAGATTTGTCAAGGTTTGAAAATATTAATTTAAAAATATTTTAAATCGTTACAGTAAAATAAATAATATCACCATTGATGTAAAAATAAACAAATAATTGTTTAAGCAATTTCAAATTCTGCAATATGCCTTATTTGATCTCTACTTTATCACATAATTTCAACACTTCATTATCATAAAATTTTGCATGATTAAGTAAAAATAATAATAATTTGTTTGAATTTTCAAAAGTAATGTTAGAAATATTGACAAATAAAACTGTTATGTTTCAAATAAATAAATGTTATCTTTAGTTTTTCATTATTTATTAAACAAAATATTATCAATACTTGAAAAATAAATAAATGTTATCTTTTCTAAGTTATGGTGTTTACTCAAATATATGTATACCAGGTATATAATACTTTACTTTTGCTACCTCCTATGGAGTATTTTCAAATAAGAAATCTGGTTGTTAGAACAAATGGGTTTTAACAAATTTCTTAATTTTTTTATAACAAAAAATATACAATAAAAATATCCTTTTTAAGGAATAACTTACATCTAATGTAGCAGCTTCCACAATATAAACGAATGGAACATATAAACCCATAAATCCAATAATATTTGAAAATGCTATGGTCAAGAAAACAGGATCCTTCATAAGTTCTAAATCTAGAAAAGCATTTAAAACTTTACTGATTCCTGTGAGGGGCTTTCCACCTAAAATTAAAAATATATACTTTACTAATCTTGTTATATTAAACAATAAGATAATTATAAAGGGACACCTCATTAGGCAATTGAGAAATTCTTGATGATTTTTCTGTTTCTATGGACTTATTCAGATAAAAATGGGTGTTATGCCTTCTAAATATTTTTGTACTCTTGTACCTCAACCAAAAAAAATGCTATTTAACGATATAAATTATACCCTATACAGGGTAATTCAATAGTAATTAAAAATTAACTTAAAAAAAGATGACATGTTTATCTGAATTAAATGTTTTTAAATATTGATAGTACAGGAATACAAAATACATTTTTATGTATGTACAAGTAGTTACATTTAAAATAAAGTAGATAGGTACGCTTGTGTACGGAGTACCGAGTAATCCGAGAGTACTCGAAAGCACAACAACAATCAGTATTTGCGGTATGCGGATAATTTGTTGTACTTACATCTTAATTATCTGATATGAAGTACATGTAAATAAATAAATTATATGGTAGGTATTAGTATTATTATTGACAATAGACAAAATTTTATTACTAACTACACTTTGTTTACGTTTTGATTAAAGCTAATTTGTACTATTGATATAAAAATGATAATTAAACTAATAAAAGTCAATTAACTTTGTAATCTTAACCATAAACAGGAGTTATTTTTTTTGTAAAACAATTCTTTCATTCTTGATGAACTTTAACTTCTTTTCCAAGCATACGTGCAAGAGAAGAAATATATTTTGTTCTACAAATCCCAATTATAAAAAAGTTGAAGATGAACAAAAGAGGAATTATCACACAGTTTGTCAATTCTGTCAAATTTTAAACTAAGTAACCAATGGTAACCATAGAGTTAGGGTTATGTTATGAATCTTACGACTTTATTAAATATATTTTGCACTTTCAGTGAGTGGAATATATAATTTTAAATTTGTTTGATATGGGTAATGATTAATATTTAATAAATAAAATAATAAATTCAAGGTGATCAAAAATGGTTTGGCAGCAGAAATAAAAAAAGAATCTATAAATATGAAATTGTTACGTCACTGATTGATCACATTTACAATATGGCTGTGTTTTTCTCTAATGGAATAGGCTCTAGATGTAGGGCACCTTGTATAAATAATAAAATATTGTAAAATTCTTTAGCTAGATCTATGGAATCTTATAAATTATTATACAAACATTTAAGTCAGTGAAAATTTCGTATTTAATAGGGCCCGCGATTTTTTCAAAATGGTATTTACAAAAAAATGTATTATTCGTAAAATATTATAATTATTAACCTCCTTCAAAAGTCTATGAAATATATTTCAGTCCGTAAAATTCTTTAATGAAAACTTTTCATGGCACACACACCCTGTATATAATTTGCTCACCATAACGTGTTTTGTCCTTTGGTATGCTAACCATGCTCTGTCTGAAATCGTGCAATGATTTCTGTGACTGGAACTCTTTAAGATTTGCGATCGATCCTGTATAGAGAACATCTTGTCTTGACAATGGAGGTAAAACTTGACTTCTTTTGCTTTTGTTACTCGTTAAGGAATGTCTGGACGCTGATACATCTGCCTGAAATAAATAAAATACTTAATAAATTTAAAAAAATCGATTAAAACTTTTTTTCTAATTTGTACATTTTTTGTAATCGCAGCAAGTGTCAAAATTATCTACTTTATGCAACCAATTGCATTCCTTATAGTAAAAATAGTTTATTTTTAATTATTCATTTTATGTAATTCATAGATACTTATATTTTATTTATTTATTTAATTTGGTTCGTTTTGATTTAAATTTCGTTAATAATTGTATAAAAATGTGTTTTTTTGTTTTTTTGTTTTTTTGTTTTTTTGTTTTTTTGTTTTTTTTTTGTTTTTTTTGTTTTTGTTTTTATTGTTTTTTTTTTTCATTGTTTTTTGTTTTTCTATTGTTTTTCTATTGTTTTTCTATTGTTTTTGTATTGTTTTTCTATTGTTTTTGTATTATTTTTTTTTTATTTTTTTGTTTTCTCTATTATTTTTTCCTGCTTTTTATTGTTTTGTTTTTTATTTTTTTTAATAGTTTTTTTATTTTTTATTGTTTTTTTAATGTTTTTTTAATGTTTTTTCATTGTTTTTTATGTTTTTTTTTTAACCAACTTCAAAAAAAGTAGTTTCTCAATTCATCTAAATATTTATGTTCTTTTATGTTGTTGTGTGATCCCATATAAATTTGGTCAAGATCTGGAGATAGCATCTATGAGAAAATCAGCTAAATCAATTTCAGTTTTATTAATAAGTACATAAAAATGTGTTTTTTCATTGTTTTTTTTGTTTTTAATTATTTTTATTTATTTTAATTATGGTTTTTTGGTTTTGTTGTTTTTTTGTTTTTTTTTTGTTTTTATTATTTTTTAGGTTTTTAGGTTTGGAAACCAATTCATAACAAAATAGTAATAACATCAGTTTTTTTAATATATTAATTATTATTATTATTTATAGCGATAAATTTATAAGAGACATTAAATAAACTAATTAGGTACGTCATATAAAAACTTCTTCAGTTATTCTAGTATCCACAAATAGTATGAAAGGTCAAAGAGGTCTGAAAAATTATCATTATTTCCATTATTAATTGCATTACTTACTCGCATTTGTTTCAATTAATAATTATAGATTGAACATAAAAGACCATCGCATCAATCTCGTACAAACAAAATATAAATTATAATGAACCATCAACGTAAATAAGGTTTTTTTCAGTAATATTGTTGGAGGAAAATAAATTAAATTAAAATTTTGTCAGTGGTATAATCAAATAAAAGAAAAATTGATAATGGTCTGATTATGAGTAAAATTTCAAATCAATATCTTGGAATGACCTCTACGTTTCAGAAGAAAAGATACATAGAGATACGAATGCAGATAGATGGAATGACTATCTGGATGGTCGATTAGATTTTTGTAATTTGATGACTATGTTCAGGGCCGACTAGAGGGGGGGGGATAGCTGGGACTAATTCCCGGGGCCCGGACTCAAATGGGGGCATGGCAGCGGTATAAGGGGGGCCCGGCAACTGTTTTTGTTTGTTTTGTATGAGAAATTCGACACAAGACGAGAGAGGGAAGTTTTTGGTTGAGAACTTTTTTTTTTAGAAAAAGCAATTCAAGTAGAAGAGGAAAAGTTTTTGTTTGAAGAGCTATTTTTTGTCACGGGGCCCGATCTACAGACTTGTCCTGGGGCCTGGCCTGGCTCTCGGCGGCCCTGTCTATGTTTAAAGACGAATTAACTATAAAGCTGTTAAATTTCGTTAGGATCTTCCAAGCAGAACGACTTGCACTAAAATTATAAACCAAATAGAAAATAAAAAATATCCTATGAAAGATTTATTGGCATTTGTATTGATTTCTTCCTCCCCAGTTTTCTGTTCCAATTTCTTAATCTTAATTTACTGTCTTTTTGTTTTTCTCTTCTTTTATTATTGTACCTCGTATTCTCGCATTACACCTATTAATTCTTATGTACCCATCTTTCTTAATTTATGTTGATATAGATTTTTTCATGCACCATTCATAATTTTCTTTTTATCAATTCTATTTTTTTGGAACGTTGAACTGTTTTTAAGTATTATGATAATTAAATGCGTTTCCTAAGAAAAAATATTTGATTTTACATTGCTTACAAATTACTTCTTAATTATTCATTAAATTCAGAATGCTCATTAAGGCTAATTAGTTGTTTAACATTAACATTAACACATTTTAATTGGTTTTGGTTTTTGAAAAAGCTTTTAAACAAAAAATATGTAGATATATTTCATTTAGAAGTAGTTAGAAAATAAAACTAAATATTAAAGATTGTTTTAAAACTTGTTGATAAATTGCCTATTTTATCTAAGATACTTCGTAATGAGAATATTATGCAATTTGTTGATAAATCTAATACCTAACATTAATATTATTTCCAAAATTTAGCACCTTAATAGTAAACAAAAATCATTACAAAAGTAATTACTACAAAGTTATATATTTTCTCTATGTATATTTCTCGTTGAATTTTAAAAATTGTTTATATTATATTTAAATCCATATATTATTAATTTTGTCCATAATTTTTTTATCAACCCAGAAAATTTCCTGATCTTGCTATTGTTTATTATTTATTAATCAACGGAATGCATCAAACTATCATCAAATTAGTTAAAAAATTATGAAATTGGGACTAAAATAAAAAAAAAATCTGATGTGTCCAACACATGACTTTCCTATCTAGTTATTATAGGCATTTTCCGGTTATTTTGTACAACCTATCTCTATAAATGTTTAGAGGATAAACTAAATATATACATTTTCCACATACATCTACCTCGAAACATTTTTCTATAGATATTCATTGAAAACGAAAATACAGAAAAATTTAAATTTAGCACTTTTCCATTACGGTCCATTTTAGAAAAATCATATATAAACAAAAATTATAGAAATCGATATCGCAAACAACTTTTAGTTCAACAATTTTCATAAAAATCAGAATTTTGCACATTTTGTCAAATTTCTCGAATACGGACCATTTCAGGAAATTTTGACATAGAACAAAAATTATAGATAATAATATTAGAAGTAACTTTTATTTGAACAATTTTCTTCTCCAAACATAAATAACAGATATATTCCATAAAATATAAAAACGGCCTTCCATAAAGTCCCCCCAGATGTTCCGACTTTGTCCAAAATCTAAACCTTTCACGTCAGGCCGAAATAAACCTTAAGTTTAAAATTTAATGTTTTTTCCTTTATCCGTTTTTGAGTTTTCTTCAAATTTCGAAATTTACACATTTTCTCAAATATCTCGAATACGGTCCATTTTAGAGAAATTATGTATAGGACGAAAATTATAGAAAATTATATTACAAACAACTTTTATTTGAACAATTTTTATAAAAAATTATTTTTTTTACATTTTGTCAAATTTCTCGAATACGGACCATTTTAGGAAAATTTTGCATAAAACAAAAATTATAGATAATTATATTAGAAGTAACTTTTATTTGAAGAATTTTCTTCTCCAAACGTAAATAACAGATATATTCCATAAAATATAAAAATGACCACCTATAAAGTACCCCCCCAGATGTTCCGACTCTGCCCAAAATCTAATCAGCTCATTGGACGCTGAAACAAAGCTTAAGTTTAAAATTTGGTGTTTTTCTGTGTATCGGTTCATGAGTTATGCGTTATACAGACACACACACACACAGACACACACACACACACACACACACACACACACACACACACACACACACACACACACACACACACACACACACACACACACACACACACACACACACACACACACACACACACACACACACACACACACACACACACACACACACACACACACACACACACACACACACACACACACACACACACACACACACACACACACACACACACACACACACACACACACACACACACACACACACACACACACACACACACACACACACACACACACACACACACACACACACACACACACACACACACACACACACACACACACACACACACACACACACACACACACACACACACACACACACACACACACACACACACACACACACACACACACACACACACACACACACACACACACACACACACACACACACACACACACACACACACACACACACACACACACACACACACACACACACACACACACACACACACACACACACACACACACACACACACACACACACACACACACACACACACACACACACACACACACACACACACACACACACACACACACACACACACACACACACACACACACACACACACACACACACACACACACACACACACACACACACACACACACACACACACACACACACACACACACACACACACACACACACACACACACACACACACACACACACACACACACACACACACACACACACACACACACACACACACACACACACACACACACACACACACACACACACACACACACACACACACACACACACACACACACACACACACACACACACACACACACACACACACACACACACACACACACACACACACAGACATCATCGCGAAAATAGTCAAAACGGATTCAGGGGACCTCAAAACGTAAAAATCCGTCGAAAACTCGAGGTCGAAAAAAATCATGATTCCTATACTTTCCTTATATCTGTATACAGATAGGAAAGTAATAAATGTATAGATACTCAATCTCTTGATAGCTCCTCTACTAATATTAAAGCTGATCTCTTATAAGCTTTGTATAGTGGTCTTCTATATCTAGGTATATTGTAATGTAAAATAAATAATAAATAGTGGCAATGAAGGGAGGGGGGGGGGGTTAACTTGTTTATGATGATTGTTATTTTAAAAATTAAAAAATCAAATGTTATCCAAACAGAGTTTGCAAAAATATCACCGAAATATAGCAATAACATGTTAATCTGCTGTTTATAATTAAACCAGTAAAGCTTAAGTTTTATATAGATAAGTAAATAGTAAATTTATGTCAAGATAGTTAATTCCAAAATATGAGATACCTATTACGTAATAAACAATTATATAACGGTTTTATTTTCACAAAATCAAGTAGATACTTACAATACTTACAAAAATTTAAAATACAGTTCATCAAATTTCTAGAGGCTTTCGACGGCTAGACAGAGAAAGCACTACTGACAGGCATCCCGACGGATTTACGCAATGAAAGTACACTCTGCGCATCAAGTATTTCACTATTTCATTCAGACGTAAATGTCAGATGTAAATTTCGCTAAAACATTTCTTTTATTTTCGTTTGTGTTTTTTGCTCATTACAGTTTAATAGAACCTAAGTATGGAGTTTAATAGCAAATTAAGAGGCCGCGTGATTAACAGTCAATCTCGCGAAATAATAGCCAATGTTATAGAGTTTATGAGAAGAGAAGGAAACTTTAATTCACCTTCAATGCCATTTAAAAATGTAAATGATCGTGTTGCTGCAGCCACAGGAGTATCTAAAAACACTGTCGTCCGCATTTCTGGAGAGAAAAAAAGAATCGATAAACGTGAGATATCGGAATTTTCATCACCAAGAAAAACCATTAAAAAACCAAAAACAGTTAATGATATAGATGAAGCTGCACAAGAATCAAATTTTATTTTTTTATTATTAGATAGCTATTTTTGTTTCTGAGTTGTGTTCATTTACAGGCTCAATTTTTTTCCGTTTCTCCTTTTTGATTTTATATGGGGTTTCAAGTTGTTTTTGACTTATTTCGACGTAAATCACAACAACACACTTTTTTAATAAAGCAAACAAGTGTTAAGAGGTATATGTACGTGTAAACTACAATTACAAAAAATTGATATGAAACCCATGAAACCACCAACAAAAATGTAAAGCTAGCTTCCGTACTAGAACATGGTGTCATTCGTCGAGATAATTTATCGTTTTGTTTAATAGATCAAGAAATGTAAATATTCCCCTGTTATTTTTTATAAAATTATAAGAAAAATAAATTTTTTTCTAAGTAGTATAGTTTATTACTTTGTAGAAAAACAAAATTTCGAAAATTTTAGTAATGTTTCAGAAACAACCGTTATTAATAATAGGTACCATTTTCCTTAATGAGGTAGAAATAAAATATAAACTATTTCCACGATTTACAAAGGCCTACAAAAAAATTATAGATATTTTCCGCTATCCTATAAAATTTATATTTTCTGACTTAATTTCAAAAGGTTGAAGGAATTCCAAAACACCTTTTATGGCATAATAATTATTTTCAATTCTACATACTATCTTTAGCTGCTTTTAAAAACGTTCTAAGAAGGTCCAATCAGACCAATTTAATCCCTAAACTATTCCACACTTTTAAAATTTAATTACCTAAAAATATTAAAAACTATTTAAAATAACTTGTTTAGCAGACTGTACAATAGCTATCTTAGTCACACGTAGCGCGTTCTCTGTCTGGGCGTCGAACACCTCTAGAAATTTGATGAACTGTAAATATTGAAGGAATTAAAATGACATATTACGTATTTATGCTCGACCTTCATGACTAGTAGTATAATCAATTTTTTACCTATTGATCACCCTGTAGAAAAATATTGGTCTTATCGATTTTTTAATCCACAAGAGAGCCCTTCGATAAAGGCTTGTCTCTTAGTTTTGTTGGAGGTATTTTTCCAACATATCCAACCCAAAATTTTTATTAGTATATCTTGTATACAGGGTGGACCGGATTTAATTTGCATATACAGAGATCTCGTAAACCGTAAGATATACATTGTCGGTTAAATGGGGAAAAAGTTTCGTATTTTGACGGCTAATACAATGGTTGTATTTAGCTATACAAAAGCTATAAAAAAATTACAGTTAAAAATCCAGGTCCATATTTAAAAAAATAAGTTGAAGATGGCCCTGCAAATACGAAACGTCGTAATAAAAATTTAGACATGGCAGATTATAGGGAACTTGATTTATAACAAAAACTTCGTATAATTTTTTTTTGTATCTTTTATAATAACAACGCACGACTTAAAAAACGAAAATAAGGTTTTTCGGATTTTATGGAATATCTCCGGAACCAGTCGGAAAATCTGGAACTTCTATGGACCATTGTATTATCTGCCAAAATATGAAACTTTTTCCCCATTTAACCGACGGTTTACGAGATCTCTGTATACGCAAATTACAGTTCATCAAATTTCTAGAGGTGTTCGACGCCCAGACAGAGAACGCGCTACGTGTGACTAAGATAGCTATTGTACAGTCTGCTAAACAAGTTATTTTAAATAGTTTTTAATATTTTTAGGTAATTAAATTTTAAAAGTGTGGAATAGTTTAGGGATTAAATTGGTCTGATTGGACTTTCTTAGAACGTTTTTAAAAGCAGCTAAAGATAGTATGTAGAATTGAAAATAATTATTATACCATAAAAGGTGTTTTGGAATTCCTTCAACCTTTTGAAATTGAGTCAGAAAATATAAATTTTATAGGATAGCGGAAAATACCTATAATTTTTTTGTAGGCCTTTGTAAATCGTGGAAATAGTTTATATTTTATTTCTACCTTATTAAGGAAAATGGTACCTATTATTAATAACGGTTGTTTCTGAAACATTACTAAAATTTTCGAAATTTTGTTTTTCTACAAAATAATAAACTATACTATTTAGAAAAAAATTTATTTCTCTTATAATTTTATAAAAAATAACAGGGGAATATTTACATTTCTTGATCTATTAAACAAAACGATAAATTATCTCGACGAATGACACCATGTTCTAGTACGGAAGCTAGCTTTACATTTTTGTTGATGGTTTCATGGGTTTCATATCAATTTTTGTAATTGTAGTTTACACGTACATATACCTCTTAACACTTGTTTGCTTTATTAAAAAAGTGTGTTGTTGTGATTTACGTCGAAATAAGTCAAAAACAACTTGAAACCCCATACAAAATCAAAAAGGAGAAACGGAAAAAAATTGAGCCTGTAAATGAACACAACTCAGAAACAAAAATAGCTATCTAATAATAAAAAAATAAAATTTGATTCTTGTGCAACTTCATCTATATCATTAACTGTTTTTGGTTTTTTAATGGTTTTTCTTGGTGATGAAAATTCCGATATCTCACGATTATCGATTCTTTTTTTCTCTCCAGAAATGCGGACGACAGTGTTTTTAGATACTCCTGTGGCTGCAGCAACACGATCATTTTCATTTTTAAATGGTATTGAAGGTGAATTAAAGTTTCCTTATCTTCTCATAAACTCCATAACATTGGCTATTATTTCGCGAGATTGACTGTTAATCACGCGGCCTCTTAATTTGCTATTAAACTCCATACTTAGGTTCTATTAAACTGTAATAAGCAAAAAACACAAACGAAAATAAAAGAAATGTTTTAGCGAAATTTACATCTGACATTTACGTCTGAATGAAATAGTGAAATACTTGATGCGCAGAGTGTACTTTCATTGCGTTAATCCGTCGGGATGCCTGTCAGTAGTGCTTTCTCTGTCTAGCCGTCGAAAGCCTCTAGAAATTTGATGAACTGTAAACCCGGTCCAAAAAATATAATAGAAAAATACTTACAAGACTTGTGTAACTTTTCGCTAGATCGCAATTTATTGGAGCTTTTCCATTTTGGTAAATCATGGTCACTATTTTCTCTTCCTTTTTATATTCAATTGGCTTCATCAGAAATCCCATCAAAGTACAAGAAAAGCAAAGAGCTGCAAGAGCCAAGTTCGCTCCCTTCCATCCGTATTGTTCTAACAACCACTTTCCTACGGGGGCAAACAGAATCGTTCCGACGCCTGATCCGCACACTGCTATTCCGGTAGCCAGCGATCTCCTCGATTCGAAATAATACCCAACACATACTACGGCGGGTACGTACATTAACCCGAAACCGATTCCACCCCCAACACCGTAAATCAGCATCAGCATTTCCACGTTGGGACTAAAAACGGATAGAGCAAAACATGCTCCCGAAATAACCGCGCCCGACATACACGATACCCGACAACCGTATTTATTCGCTACGGCACTAACCAAAGGTCCTAGGCACATGGTTACTCCAGCAAGGATCGATCCTACCCAAGCCACTTTTGCTTGCGATTCATGGTAGTATGCTATTAACGCTGGGAGAAATATTCCAGCACAGTAAGTTATTCCGTCTACCATCATGTTACAGATGAACGAGGCAAATACGATAACCCACCCGTATCCACCGTCTGGAGGCGTCGGTACTGCTTCTTCATAGTCCTTTTTTTGGTGTGGTGATTTTTCGGTAAAATTTTTCTAAAAATATAATTGGATCTTTAGTTTTATGAAATATTGAATGAAAGAAATTTGTCTAGAAAAACAAAAATATAAAAAAAATGAAGAGGAAATTCAAGAATAAGATCCAGTAAGAATCGAACCCACGCTCTTTGGTATACCGTACCAACATTCTAACCTATAAATCATAGAAGTGTATGCATCCTTCGATTTGATTCATATTACCTTAGTTTTCATCACAAATTATATAACACTACGTATATTCACTTATGTTAATTACACAACAGTGTATATTCAAATGCAAGTTACTAAGAAAACAAACGATCTTCGTAAAAAACATTGTTAATAAAGTTAATGGTCCTGATAACAGTTTTTTTCTTTTAAATTAGGTTAATAAATGTAGATAAAGCATATCACAAAAACAAATAGCAACAAGGAAGTCTTTACCAAAGTATAAAAATAAACAAGTATTAGAAATTAAAAATTAAAAAAAAAACGACTTTTAAAACGTACAGATGCCATCACCACATCTTAACCAAATTTATATGGGACCACCCTTGAGGTACCCCCTTATTAACAAAAAAAGAATCATATAAATCGGACAAGGTGGTAAAGCATTATCGTTAAACATACATAAAAAATGAAGAGTTAGAGGATTTTCTCATGGATCCAATTATTTGATTTTATATGGGACCACCCCTAAAGTACAGCCTTTCTAACAAATCATTGAAATCGGACACCGTGTTAAAGAATTATCGCTGAATATACATAAAAAAAATTGCGACGATTTCAGAACTCCGCCTTTTTGAGTTTCTAATTAATTTGACTATCTTCGTCCAGAAATGTCACTAAAGTCTGGGAGACCGTGTATGACATTTATTTTATAGTTTTACTTTACAAAATATGTTTTTATCGTAATAAAAAAATAATTTCACAATTACACTCTTTTATTTTACATTTTTGTAAGACGGAAAAGTAAAATACGGCCCTGCTCAATTTTAGCGTCCATCTGCTTCTGTTTACATCAGGCGTAAATTAAATTTGAATAGACTTTAGTAGTCTATTAGATGCGTGTTTAATAATATCCTATTATTAAGAATAAGAGTGTTATCCATATTTCATATCCATAGCATCGCAGACATTTTTCCAGACGATCCTGTGTAAAACGACAATACCGGTACCATAAGAGACTCGAAAAACGAGAAGAGCCGTTTGGAGAAATTAATCTTCAGGCAATCACTATCAAGCCAGAGGATGTGAAGACGTAATCACCATTAAAAGCCTAAGAAAGACAATGATGGTTATCCGAAAATGACTCAAAAATGGAGGCAGAGATAGTCACATATAGTGGAACTATTAAATGCTACTGGACTCAGAGAGATTCCCTGTATCTTTACGATGACCTATTGCACCAGAAGTGGCAGAGCCCATATGAAGTACATATCCAAGTGGTAGTACCAAAATCACATGTCGGAAATGTGTTTGAGGAACTTCATAGCATCCGTTGAGGAAATTTTCAAATGGTTTGGTCCTTCTGAACCTTCTCATCAGTTATTGTTTGTCCTGGAACTGTAGAACTTCAATATTGACATGGTCGTGAAGTATTTTTTTGTTTTTTGTGATGGTTTCGCTCTCTTCTTCAACTGTAGGCATTCTCAGATCTCTGTGAAGGTCTGAGTTCCTTACATATCAAGAAGTGTTTACTCTTGCCATTAATATTTTGTTGTGGAAATATACTGTAAGTAATTTTTTACGTAAATGGAGTTTTTAGTCAAGATATGTTTAGGAGAGTGTATATTTTAGGCAGTTAAAAGGATTCAAGACTATAAACGTTGTAAAGTAATATAAATAAGGTACAGAAAAACATATATAATAATACAATGGTAACCGCGAAAGACAAAACGTCATAATTAAACATAAACAGTCAAATTTTGTATCATAAAACAGTTAAAACAAAGTATTTCTACATATATTTTAATTTTTACAGGATCAAATCTTCTAAAAAGATCGTCGATTTGGATTCTAAAAATCCTTATTGATGTGTCCCAAAAATGTTTAATATCGACTTATTACTTTTTAAGCGCCGACCACAGAATCTGTTAGGGAATAGATACTAACATTTTTGGACGACCACCCTGTAGGCATCTTTTATTATAAATTGCACATTTTGAGAATATTTTCAACAAAAGAACAAAGCAGCCGGAAGATGGCAATAAAATTTTAGGTACTACTCATATATCACTGTCATCAATTTTTAAACATATCTTTTGAATTCATTATTCCCCTTTTACCTTTTTCTTTTTCTAAGCAAATATATTATTAATGCCGTTAATAGAAATACAGGGTAGGAATAAACATTCTTTTCCTTATTTTTTATTATTATATTTTTTTTAGTAAGTAACATAATATTATGATTAGTAAATAAGTAAAAAAAATTCACAAGGTTTGATATGGGGGGGTATGAAAGCCTAATATGTGAAATAGGTAAAAAGTTTATAACTACACAAAACAGTGATTGTATACATTTTCACCAAAATAATGGGAAATATTTTTAATTACATACAGAGTACTCACAGATTGAGTTTGTAGAAAAAATAATTATTTTTAGTTATAGTTTTATCTAATAATAATCACCACAACTTTATTAAAGTAAATAGTATATTGTTTACAGCATTAACCGAAGCATTCCTTGCAAGTTGAACACTATACTTTTTCTCTAGATAACATACTGCTATCCATTTTCAATTAAATTTTTTAATTTATGGCACACATTTTTTTTTTTAAATAATTAGTAAATGACCATACATTTTTGTTATCAGATAAATATTTGATAAGGAAATAATTAGTTTCTATTATTAAATAAGGAAATGTATCTGATTTCGCAATCAACAATAGTTGTAGGTATTTTAGCTGTAAAAAAATAAATTTTTTATCAAGGATGGAATTCTTTGAAATTAATATATTTAATTTTTATTTATAGGAGTAGATATTTGAGGAAAATTTACATTACAAACTGAAAGACCTGCGGGGCAACATAGTTTAGTAAATTACTTCCGAGACGAAACAAAATCCGCACACATTCATAATTTTACCAATTACATGTAGATACGAGGAATACGTATTCCAAACTCTAACGCGCGAAGTTGATATAAAGGAACCGAAAAATCCTACCACGGCTGCCGACGTTCATCAGTTCTTGAGCGAGTCAAAGTTACCAAAATTAGGGGAACCAGAATCGTATTTGTTTTTCTTGGTGCATTGCAAGATATTGTTATAACGCAGTTCGATTTTTTAGAGGGTTTTACATTGTTTTTATATTTTAATTTAGTGAATAGGTTTAGTTAGATTAAATTTCATTTCAAATAGACGATTGGTTCGAATAAAGTATTATCAATTAATACAGGGTATTTATTAATTGAGTGCCGATACTTAAGGGTGTGAATCTTTGGATTTTAAAGTTTTAAGAAAAAAATAACTATTTTATCATAAGTTTCTTATCACTCTAGATATTTTTATGAAATTTTGCCCAAAAAAAAGGGTTTCCACTCATGGTCGGTTCCTACCAAATTTTAACAAAATATCAAAAACAGTTTCAATAAACTGGTTTTTATTTTCTTACGCGAAAAGGGTGCGTCGTACGAAAGTACGTCTATAAACCAAATTTGCTACAAAATAAATAAGGATTTTAAAGATAGTTTTGGGTTTTAGAAAAAGCAGTGGCTTACCATATTTTTGTTCAAAAATATTCAATTTAAACCCGGTACGCACGTCACTGGTAAAAATTTAGAAGTCTTTAAGCCAAAAATAAAATTTAAAAGTGGGGTACTACGAAACCCTTGCATTCTATGCTCTAGAGCCAAGTAAATACTCCTCTTTTTATTTTTCTAATACTATGGAAGCATTACTGTATTTTATATTTGTATAACTTCTAATAGATTTCGACATTTTTGAAGATCTAAATTTATTTTTATTGAATTAATAGATTATTATGAAATAAACAATTATTTTTACATCAATATCATACATTTATTAAACACGATTTGCTATGTATGTATATTTTTTTATTCATCTTTAGAAAAGCATCAATTTGCTATTTTTGAAACAAAATTTTTTAAAAAGAATTTATTCTTAATTCGCCATAACATTTTTGTAAATAAAAATTTGTATAATGTAGGAAAAATATTAAAAAATAAAACCGAGTTCAGGGAAATTAAAATTTAAAAAAAATTGTTGTAAAGTTGCTATAATTTTGTATATTTTATCATTTTAAAAAATTATATATTTATTAATTTTAATTAATGATAACACAAGGTATTTTTTAAATATTCATAAAAATTAAATTAAAAGTATTGAAGCAAAACGCGTTTTGCTTCAATCACGTGGGTAGTAAAGTTGATAATAAATGTTTTTTTTTTAATTCATAATTTAAAGAAATTGTTATTAAAAAACCGAATTGATGATCTTATATTTTGGCTTAATTATTATTTATTTTTTAATATTGCATACCGTATTATCGTTGTTTTAAAAACTCACATTTACACTCTCCTGCAATATGGCCGCATAATTTCGAACACCCTGTATTTTATAAACTACAGTTTATTATTATTATTTGAATTTTGCACTATTGACAACCGTCACACTATAAAGAACAAAATGCTTACACTGGTCATAGGTACGTTCGGACTGGTTCCTCAAAATGAAGTTCGTCTACTTCGGTTTCAGTGGGCTCGGGTTCAGTAGTTGCTTGCTTTCTATTTTGTAGGTACTGATTGAATTACAAGAAATATGAAATTCTTGTGCAGCAATTACGCAATTTCCAAGGATTATAGGACATAAACCGCGTTTTAATTATTCCAATATTGTGTTAATTTTCTTAGGACAACCTTCGCTTCCATCCAAACTCAACAGAACTTTAATGCAAATGCTGCTCGAATGCGTTTCTTAAGTTTATAAACGTTTGGACATTCTGTGATAAAGCAAACCGTTTTTATTTCTAAGGTTATCAGTATTACTTGTTCTAT